TCCACGCTCGCCTCGGGGGACGACGGGTCCACGCTCGCCTCGGGGGACGACGGGTCCACGCTCGCCTCGGGGGACGACGGGTCCACGCTCGCCTCGGGGGACGACGGGTCCACGCTCGCCTCGGGGGACGACGGGTCCACACTCGCCTTGGGGGACACGTCCACACTCACTTCCGGTGATGTTTCCATGCTCTCAGGGAGTGCTTCCACACCTGCTTCACACAGTGCTTCCACGCTCCCTTCAGGGGGCCCTTCCACGCTCACCTTGGGGGTGGCTTCTGTGTTCCCTTCAGGGGCCACTTCCACGGTCGCCTCGGGGGCCACTTCCACGGTTGCCTCAGGGGCCGCATCCAGGCTCACCTCAGGGGCCGCTTCCAGGCTCATCTCAGGGGCCGCTTCCACGCTCACCTCGGGGGTTGCTTCCACCTTCACGTGAGGGGCCGCCTCCACACTTACATCAGGGGGTGCTTCCACCTTCTCCTGGGGAGGCCCTGCCGCTGCTGCCTTGCGAAGCGCCATGGTATTCTTCAGTTCATCACTGCTGTGGCTCCGCAAGGGCATGTTTATATACTGGATTAAGGCATTGTGGGTACCTATGGGTGAACGAGGACAGGATGAGACTACCCATACACAGAAACCAGACAAGACAGAAACGCGCCACGTAACAGTACAAGAACAGGAAGAGAAAAAAGAGAGACTATGTGTTCGTTAGTAAACTGCAGGGATTGATTACCCCACAACATGGAAGTGTCTAGTGAAATGGAACCCACACACCGGACAGAAACATCTCGAAGTTGGTTACTTCAGAAGCACCACCATTAAGAGGTGTAGTGAAAGCAAAAGTCCACTACAGGCGAAAAGAGGATGCTTCTTCAAAGTTGATGTTTGCAGTAAGTCACTTCTCTTTTAATATCACAGTTTTGAATGATTTTTATAACACATTATAAGATATTCAACACTTTGAAAAAGTAATCTAGAACAACTTCACTAGGACCAGAGATCTTACCATTTCAAGTGATCAGGTAAGAAACTCCATATATGGTGATTTAAATGTAAGAAAAGAGCATTTCTCACCCATTCTAAAAACTATAATAAAACATTAATCAGAATGGGCTAGATTTTCAAGGTCTCTTCCAGCTTTAACAATCTAAATTTTTTGCCAGGGCTCCTGGGTGGCTCGGTCATTAAATACCTGCCTTTGGCTCAGGTGGTGATCCCGGGGTCCTGGGATCGAGCCCTGCATCGGGCTCCCTGCTCAGCAGGAGGCCTGCTTCTCCCTCCCCCACTCCCCCCCACTTATACTCCCTCTCTCGCTCTCTCCCTGTCAAATAAATAAAAATCTTTAAAATAAATAAATAATTTTTGCCTAATAAATGGATAAAAATGGTAATACTCGGTACCAGCAAAGGAGGAAGAAAGTGGTAATGCCAATGTTGGGAACCAGGCAGCCCCACACTACTGGTGGGGTGTAGATCTGTATATGCTCCTGACAGGGGGGATTGGGGCAATAAGGCATTAAAAGCCATTAAAAGGACATACTCTTTGTTCCCACAATTTTACTTCAAGATCTATTCTTAGGAAAAAAAATCAGACATGAAAACATATGTAATAAGGTTACTCATAGCATTATTGATAATACTGAAACAAAACTATAATCCAAATATTCAACAAGAAATTTAGAAAATACTGGGCACCTGGGTGGCTCAGTGGTTTAAAGCTTCTGCCTTCGGCTCAGGTCATGATCCCAGGGTCCTGGGATCGAGCCCCACATCGGGCTCTCTGCTCCATGGGGAGCCTGCTTCCTCCTTTCTCTGCCTGCCTCTCCGCCTACTTGTAATCTCTGTCTCTCAAATAAATAAATAAAATCTTTTTTAAAAAAAAAGAAATTTAGAAAATACTAAGGCAGGGGCGCCTGGGTGGCTCAGTGGGTTAAAGCCTCTGCCTTCGGCTCAGGTCATGATCTCGGGGTCCTGGGATCAAGCCCCACATCGGGCTTTCTGCTCGGCAGGGAGCCTGCTTCCCCCTCTTTCTCTGCCTGCCTCTCTGCCTACTACTGATCTCTGTCAAATAAATGAATCTTTAAAAAAGAAAAGAAAAAAAATACTAAGGCAGTCATTCACAGTAATAATATACAATTTCCAGACCTAGAAAATGATAAATATATATATATACTTTTTTAAAAAAGATTTTATTTAGGGCGTCTGGGTGGCTCAGTGGGATAAGCCTCTGTCTTTGGCTCAGGTCATGATCTCAGGGTCCTGGGATCCAGCCCCAAATCAGGCTCTCTGCTCAGCAGGAAGCCTGCTTCCCCATCTCTCTCTCTCTCTGCCTGCCTCTCTGCCTACTTGTGCGCGCTCGCGCACGCGCTCACTCTCTCTCTCTCTCTCTCTCTGTCAAATAAATAAATAAATAAATCTTTAAAAAAGTTTTATTTATTTGAGAGAGTGCCTCCACACACAGGCACACAAGGGGAGGGGCAGAAAGGGACAGGGACAAAGGAGACTCCCTGCTGAGAGAGGAGCCCAATGCAGGGCTGGATACCAGGACCCAGAGATCATGACTTGAGCCAAAGTCAGATGCTTAACCAACTGAGCCACCCAGGTGCCCCAAGAAAATGGTACATATTGAGTATAAACAAAAACAAATCAAAAAAACAAAAACAAGTTACAATCTCATTTTGTAAAGAAAACACAAACAAAATATTCAGTTCCCAGTGAGTTACTGAGATAATAAATTATATTTAAAATTTGTTCTACACTAAATATTTATTGCTTGTATAATAAAGAAAAGTATTTTTTTTAGAAAGTATTTGGTGGTAGCTTTTATAAGACTTGGTAAATTTGTCACCTCTCTTCTTTAACTGGGTGGTAAACTTTTACATGATCTCATCAAGTAATCAAAATAAAACAAATTACCAAAGACTGACTACTCATGAATAAACAATCTGACTTAAATGTTTTCTTTTAGTCACCCACTTTTGGTGGAAAAAGCATTTTATTTACAGATCTGTATGTATCTAAATGGTCACATTATTTAACACTGACAGTTTGTGCTACAAAGAATATATTAAGTACAGCTAGAGAAATTTAAGATAAGTATTATATTTTTGATGGAAGTAACAGATTATTTAACAAGAATGAAAGTTAATATAAGAACTATCCTACAGGAGACTGGGGGAAGACTGGCAGAAAATAATTTGACATACATATAATAGGGCAAAAACAAAGTCAGGAATCTGAACCAAAAGAAGTAAAGCTGCACTACCAGAAAGTCTATGATAGCACTGTAATTTATTTTACTAATTATGTGAATATTAACAGAAGAAAAAAATAAAAGAATAAAAGTGATGGGAAGAAAAAAGTGGAGGAAAAAAGAATAATGGGAATAGTGCATTTGAGCTCTCCACTACTGAGGACTTCTTACAACCCACAGGCATGTCTAACACTCTATGTGACCTCTAAGTGAGAAAATCCATGTAAGCCTGAAAATGGGTTTTATTTTACTATTAATAAAAAGCTGAAGAGCAGCTCAAAATCATTCTTCCACATTTTAGGGGGAAAAAGAGAGTGGAGTAGGAAACTTCCTCCCCCTTGCTATTATAAAAATTTTTGGTACTCTTAACATCTAGTACTTTTTAAAAAAAAAAATCACTTAAAAATTTAACAACCACCACCACAACTACCTTATTTCATCCTATCAATCAACTATCATCCAGGTAACTCAACCTACCATGCTAGAAGGCATAAAACAAATATGCAACGTAAATATCAGTCATCTGGAAACTACTGATTCGAATTATTTTTATGCCTTACCGCAACAAATTAAATGATATAACCTGCTTTTTAAGTGCAAATACTAACACTTTCAGGCTTTCTGCCCTATGCCTGTTACCTGAAGTATCTCTGCCAGGAACTGACAAGGAAGCAGCACTTTTGCTCCTGGCTATTGACGCTTTGGTAGGGACAAGCAGGCGAGTGATTAAATTATTCTCCCGAAGACTGGTATATGACTGACGAGCTAAAGGAGAACAAACAAAAAGAATTCAAGTTGAAGTCTCACAAATAAATGCACGGCATATGAACTGCACATGAGAACTTTCCCAGCCTACAAGTAGAGGAAATGAGAGCAATATATATATACACATACATATGTATATATATAAATATATATAAATATATATAAATAATGGGACTGAACATCACCACTGGATCCGACTGCCTGGCTAGGGAAGAGAGCACCTGAATTAAGGGTCAAAGTCCCCGTCATACTCAATAACCCCAGTGAAGAAATCCAGGTAACGTATCTAACAAAGCCCTATCCCAACGTATCGTCTCTACGGGAATTCATGAAGTTGTATGTGGCAAAACAACTTTGAGGTGGACTTCTACAGATATATGCCACTGACAGTCATAGTGGTCAAGTTCATTACCAAAAGCTCCAAGGGACTGACTGAATTCTTTTGTTAAAAGTGCATCTTGTAGGCGCGCCTGGGTGGCTCAGTGGGTTAAAGCCTCTGCCTTCGGCTCAGGTCATGATCTCAGGGTCCTGGGATTGAGCCCCACATCGGGCTCTCTGCTCAGCAGGGAGCCTGCTTCCTCCCCTCTCTCTCTGTCTCTCTGCCTACTTGTGATCTATCTGTTAAATAAATAAAATCTTTTTTAAAAAAGTGCATCTTGTAAATACCTTGCTCCAAGTTTTTATGTTCCTAAAGATCCCTGTGACAATGGCATTTGTTATAACAGGATTTGACCTGAATCAACAAACTGGAGAGTATTCTGTAAGTGGTTTGGTATAAAACAAAAAGCAACAGTCGTGTCTGACAGAGAAAAGTTGGGGGGCGGGTATTAGAAACTACTTTAAATAAAGAAGTACTGGGCGCCTGGGTGGCTCAGTGGGTTAGGGCCTCTGCCTTCGGCTCAGGTCATGATCTCGGGGTCTTGGGATTGAGCCCCACATTGGGCTTTCTGATCAGCAGGGGGCCTGCTTCCCCCTCTCTGCCTGCCTCTCTGCCCACTTGTTATCTCTGTATGTCAAATCAATAAATAAAATCTTAAAAAAAATTTAAAAAATGAAGACAGACTCTTGGCTTCAGCCAAATAAGTATGACATCAAAGGACATTTTGCAGTTAAAGAAAGGATATTGTGGCTTCAAATTTTAGGAACGACTTCTCAGGCAACCAAATGCTAACACAGATCTTTTTTTGGGAGAACGACAAGAAGTGCGGGGATAGGGAAGTGCAGAGAGAGACGATCTTGAGCAGGTTCCAAGTTTAGCTTGGAGCCCAACTCAGGATCATGGCCTGAGCCAAAATCAGGAGTCGGTGCTCAACTGACTGAGCCACACAGGTACCACAAAAGATCTCTTTTAAACCACTATTTAAGACTGGTACTTAGAAATAACTAACCAGTTGGTTTTTCTTCTACTTGTACAGTTTCTGAAGGTGCCTGCAATTTGTTAGATCCTCTCGTCAAGGATGAGCTTCTCTTCTTTTCTATTTTTTCTGGAGATCAAAGGCAAAGGAATATTATTTTTTACAAATTATTTAAATGTATTATTTCAGAAGTGAGTCACTTCATACATTTTTTATCTTCTCTACTTTTGCTTATAAAAATTTAAATTTCCAATCTTCTGTAGAGATTATATATCCCCAACTTAAAGCTCATTTGCTCTTTAGGTGATCTGGACAATAAAATTTATTAGGAAAAAATAGTTAAAAATTAAGAGGGTAATGTCTAATACTACCTGACAAGATCAACATTCCCAAATTGGGACTATACAACCTTTAATTCTGGACACAATCCATGACATCTATTACTAAAATAATGTATACTTTAATTATAATGGTTATTTTTTTAAACAAAAATGATCATTAGCCTTTGGCACAGATGTCACAATTTTAGCAACCTAATGAAAAACATGGTTTGTGTAGACACAAACAAATTCTGACTCAGGATTCTGAATTAAAGAATAACTTCTCTTTTGGGAACCTATAAATTAAACTTGGGGACCTATAGATATTGACAACATAGCATCATTTGAAAATTCCTGAACTGATAATGTAATTGAACAGCATGAACCAGAGGTATAATCAATTCAATCATGTGATTAAATCACACATCCTTTATTTTTGTACTGCAAGGAAAATACAAGATAGTTTGAACAGTTATTATGAGTCAGCAATGAGCAGAAGAAAAATAGACAATTGCAATCAGCCAAGCTCTAAAACAGGGCTACTTAAAATATTACAGGTTATCAGATTATGAACTTCATTTGCATGTGAAATATTCATCTCTCTGGATCAAAAAGGTTTCATTTCAATTTGAAGAGATTTTACAAAGGTAAGCCACCACCAATACGGACTTTATTTTCTCTGTCATCATTAATGACAACATTCATTGTTTCAGAGTGTGCAGTAATACTATACTTGTAAGTAAGCTATTTCACAAAGTATCTTCCATCATACCTTCTCATGTTAAAAACTAGTAAAAAGGGCTCCTGGGTGACTCAGTGGGTTAGGCCTCTGCCTTCCGCTCGGGTCATGATCTCAGGGTCCTGGGATCGAGCCCCGCATTGGGCTCTCTGCTCAGTGGGGAGCCTGCATCCGTCCCTCTCTCTCTCTGCCTGCCTCTCTACCTACTTTCGATCTCTCTCTGTCAAATAAATAAATAAAATCTTTAAAAAAAAACCTAGTAAAAAAAATCATTTAAAAAATCATTTAGGGGCACCTGGGTGGCTCAGTCATTAAGCATCTGCCTTCAGCTCAGATCACGATTGCAGGGTCCTGGGATAGAGCCCTGCATCAGGCTCCTTGTTCAGCAGGAAGCCCGCTTCTCCCTCTCCCACTCCCCCTGCTATGTTCCCTCTCTTGCTGTTTCTCTGTCAAATAAATAAAATCTTTTTAAAAATTACTTGGAATTGCTCTTTCAGTGCAATTTAACTAATTATTATCCTAAAAGGCATCGCCTGTTCCTCCTCTTTACAAACCTCTTTTAATAGCATGAGGCCTATGAATGAAGGCATACTAGTATTTGCTCATTATACTAAAAATGTCATACATGTCTGTGGAAGAAATATTTGCTAACTCCTCAAAGCAATTAGACAGTTTCTGAAACAGAGTGAATGCTAGTTAAACAAGTAAAATATATCAAAATGAATGTGTTTGTGTGTATACATGAAAGTATATAAATATAACATTGCAATGAATTCTAGTTTTTCTAAAGGATTGAAATGGTGAATAATAATTTCATTATATGACAAGGAAGGTGCTAGAGAAAACCTTCCCACATTAATCTACAAATGATCCCAGGCTACACATAAGTGCTTTGGGAAAGCCTAATCAAGGGTTGGGGTGGTAAGTGGATCAACTTTTGTTAGACCATTGAAAGAAAAAATGTGATAACCCCAGATCAGGGGTTCCCTGCTCAGCGGGGAATCTGTCTCCCCCTCCCTTTGCCCCACTTACCGCTTGTGCTCTATCACTCTCTCACTTGCTCTCAAATAAATAAAATGTTTTTAAAAAAGATTTTTAAATTGAAACCATAATTATGCCTTTTTTTTCTTCAATTCGTAAGGCACTGAAGTGGGAATGATGTGGAATATGTTTGCTGTGTCTTCTTCCTGCCAAGATCACTTCTGTTTTTGCCTCCAGAAATTATTTTTTTAAATTGATTGATGGGTATGGTTTACCTAATCCATTTCAATTATCAGTGGGAAACACCATGCACAGTAAGCCAGAAATGGTCACTGACAGTTAGGTGAAGGATTTTTTTTTTAAGATTTTATTTGTTTATTACAGAGAGAAATAGTGAAAGAGGGAACAAAAGCACAGGAGAGCTGGAGAGGGAGAAGTAGGCTCCCCACTGAGCAGGGAGCCCTGACATGGGGTTCGATCCCGGGACTTTGGGATCATGACTCCGAGCGGAAGGCAGACACTTAACGACTGAGCCACCCAGGCGCACCAGGTGAAGGATTTTTTTAAAAAAAGAAACACTAATTAAAAGGACAAACACTAGAAGCAAAAGGTATTGAGGTTGGGGCGCCTGGGTGGCTCAGTGGGTTAAAGCCTCTGCCTTCGGCTCAGGTCATCATCTTAGGGTCCTAGGATCGAGCCCCATCGGGCTCTCTGCAAAGCAGGGAGTCTGCTCCCCCCCCACCTCTCTGCCTGCCTCTCTGCCTACTTGTGATCTCTGTCTGTCAAATAAGTAAAATCTTTAAAAACAAAAACAGAAACAAAAACAAAGGTATTGGGGCGCCTGGGTGGCTCAGTGGGTTAAGCCGCTGCCTTCGGCTCAGGTCATGATCTCAGGGTCCTGGGATCGAGTCCCGCATCGGGCTCTTTGCTTGGCAGGGAGCCTGCTTCCCTCTCTCCCTCTCCGCCTGCCTCTTTGTCTACTTGTGATCTCTCTCTGTCGGATAAATAAATAAAATCTTTAAAAAAAAAAAAAAAACACAAAGGTATTGAGGTAGTCATAGTAGATAATTTCTTTTTTGTTTAAAGAACACCACATTAGTACTACAAAGAGTTGTAAAGAGGAGGTTAGCAATGCTTTGCTCATTAAACATGGGTACCATGTTATTTGCTTTGGAGGAAAACACAGGATTATTCAAATGTACAATTTCAACATCACGATCTATCTATCAAATGACCAAAATACAAGCCAAAAACAAAGCATGACAGACTGAAGAGCACTGAATTTCTTGGGGTCTTAACTATAAAGCCAGGAAGGTAATTACACTTGCCTGTCACCTTTACAAGGTTGTCATGAGTAACAAGTACGACATATGTGAAGCAGATCAACCTGTCCGCTGCTGTATATATGCTAACATTTTCCTTAAATGAGGTGATTTTCATGAAACTTAACGGAAATTGAATGACCAGTCTAGCTACTCTCTAGGAAAAAGGATCTCATTTACTGGTTAGGTAGAATATGAATCCGTTTTATACCAAGTTACTATGCCAGGCAATGGCAATAAAATGTGTTTCAGTTTGGGCTACCTGAACTCAACAAGCGCCTGTGATGATGCACATACGAATTATAAAACAAGGACTAACACTGATGAAAATACGAAACAGTAATGACCACCTCCACCAAAAACAAAACCAGGTGGTGCTCTTCTGAAATAAATCTAAATGTTCCACAATCTAAAGGATAAGTGGTACTATGAAAAGACATTAAAAAGAATTTATTTCATTGGTTTAAAATTCAGCAGAATACATGAAATAACTACTTACTCTTGGCAACAGAACTCTGAAGACCTGCAGATGACACAGACATTTGTTTCTGTAAACCAGATGTCTCTTGTTCAAGTTTCTCAGTCGATACAGAACGTTTACTGGCTGAGGAAAGATATATTTACTGTACTCATACTTAAAGCATCACTAGCTGAAACAAAGTAAGTTCATGATGTAGTTCTATGGAGTATGTGCACTAATTAGGTGCACAATGTTTACTGTCATTCCTTACACGCGATATAAATTTAAGTTTTATGAAACTGTAGAGCTCTGTCCATTTATAGGAAAATTTATAGTAGCTGCAATAGTAAATGGGACTTTATTTTTTAAAACGTGCACCGGAAAAAATATGCATTGGATAAAGCTATATAAAATTCAATCATTTTTACAGATATTACAAATTTAAATGGTAAGATTTTGGATACTGGATAAAATATTAAAATTTCTTTTGCAGGGGTGCCTGGGTGGCTCAGTAGGTTAAAGCCTCTGCCTTCGGCTCAGGTCATGATCCCAGGGTCCTGGGATCGAGCCCCGCATCAGGCTCCCTGCTTCCTCCTCTCTCTCTGCCTGCTCTCTGCCTACTTGTGATCTCTGTCTGTCAAATAAATAAATAAAATCTTAAAAAAAATTTCTTTTGCAATCTTACATGATACAAATTTAAACAAAAACTTACTGAGCACACCAAAGAGTATATGGCAGCATTTTCACTTAAAACACAAAGCTCAAAACCCTACTGTAAATGCAACCTTGCAACAATAGCCAATATCTAAATAAGAGCATGAATAACTTAAAGTTTAACAGTTTATTAATTACCGGTTTTGGTTTCTGGGTTCACAGCTGTAGAGCCTTCCCATGACCATCTTTTTTGACGATGATCAACACGGTTGCTCCGTTCCAATGTCCGACAGAGAACAGCCTTGAATCTCTCCTATTTCAAATAAATGCCAACAAATTTTTACATATTCAACATACTGGATAGTGTAATTTAGATCTGTGGGTTAGAACTCCAACCCATTACCAAATTTTTCTATCAAGCAAAATTTGGGGGGGTATGAGGTAAGTAAGAGTTAAAAATGAAGACCAAAAAAACAACTGAAGACCATATTTCTGGTATCAATCAATGTCAATGCTTCTCCTGAGTAACAGGCTTTAATCTTACGGATATGAACTAAGAAACAGACTGTGCTTACCTCTGCTTGTATCATGAGGAAATTAATCAATTAATTAATCTGAGAGAAAGAATGTGCACAAGCAAGGGGAGCAGCAGGCAGAGGGAGAAGGAGAAGCAGGGAGCCCGACATGAGCCTCGAGTGCCAGACACCAAAAGAGTCCAGGATGGTAGAGAGACAGGGCCCCAGCACAGCTGGGAGGAAGAGTGCACAGGGCAGAAAGGCAGTGGAAGCCAGACGAGAGAGCAAGCGCTGTCATCAGACTGGCCTGCGCTCAAGTCAAAGAAGCAGCTGTGAGAAGTGAGATCGCGGCCTATTGATGGGTCTATGAGCATGAGACCACGGGCATAGAGCGCAGAGACACAAGTGAGCCACATCCCAGAGCATGGAAGGGCTCTCTTCCCAGGCCTGCGAGGCTCCGCTTTACCTCAGATAGCAGGTCGAAACTCAGGGATCTGAGAGCACAGGAACAAGAGGCTCTACCGCTGAAGGGGAGAGAGAACTGGGACTGGATCCCTTGGCAGGAGAGGGGGCAGGAAAGGCAGTGAAAGGCTAAGAAAAAAGTATTCCAGTGCCAGGTGACACCACGTGGCATCTGATGAACAGGCTAGGAAACATGTACTGTACCCTTTCTTCCTGTAATTTTTGTTTCCTTTTTTCTTCTGCAGATATTCTCCGCTGCTCATCCTTCTCCTTTTGTTCTTTCAGTTTCCGTTGTTTCTCCTCCATCTGTTTTTCATATTGGATCCGTGATTTTCTTTCTTTTTCAAGCAGTTGTGTTTCCTTAGTAGCTGAAATATTCCAAATACATTTTCAAGGCGTAAGAGCCAAGAAAATATTTAAGTTTTCTACAGTACTCACAAAGAAGGAGAAAGTTAATATATCTCTTCCTCTTTCTTAAAAATAACATGACCTATGCCAATAACAAACGATTATATAAGTGAACAAGAATCATTTGTACTGAGTGTTCATTTAATTCTAGAGAACAGAGATGGCATAGATGACCCTCATATCCTGTCCAAGCTAAAATTCTGAATTAAAACCAAGTATTTTCTTTCATGTGATATTTCCGCTGATTTGAGGCAAAATTAAACCCCACCAGATTAACATGCTATATACATTAAAATAAGAATTAAAAAGAAAACACATGGCCAGAAGGGGTTTTTTTTTTCTTCTACTAGGAAACTTCTTTCAAAGGCCTCATCTATCCAGACCATATTTAATCATGCCCGTTTTACATTCATGGAGTTAAGACACCACACTATGTATGGAACAGCATGATGTTTTCCTATTTCAAATTTTCCCTCACTAAAGCCTGGAGAGCATCTATGCAGTTCTAAAATACTCTCCAGAAGAGCTCCAGGAAGAAATAACTCCTCACCAAAACAAAGAAAAATTATATCCATTTGAATGAAGCTGAGCACAAGTTTTGTCAAGGGATTTCAAAGGCCAGAGAAAAATGCCTCGTTGAGAAAGGCATTCTCTTGAGGTGTAAAAAGATTCTTTTAGGTCCAAATTTACACTTGAGAAGCCTATGTTAGGATTATTAACAACTTCATTTTCCTTTTTAGAGTCATTTTTATTGAAAGCCCATTCTGCTTGTTTCTACAAATGCTGAAATTTTGATACCTTAGTTTTCAGAAAATTAGAGCTAACAGAAACTACTTCAAAAATTAAACAATCAACTATTTTTTAAGGCCTTCTTTATCTACCTTAGTATAATTATTCAATCCAACATAATACATCCCAGAAAAAATGTAATCTATATATAAACAGATCAGGAAAAGTAGATAAAATCACTTTGAAAATATATAACCTCAACAGAAAATTTATTCATTCCGATTTTAAGTCTAAAATATACCTTCCTGTTGTCTTTTGGTCTCCTCTCTTCGCTCCTTTGCCAACCTCTGCTTCACATCATTTTTAAGCACGGATCCATCTATTACTAAAAACAAAAAAGAAAATATAGTAAGGCATTAATAGATCTGGTTTTACTGACATGACACTCTGACATCTATAAAAAAGCATTCTAGAAATTACACCTGGTTTGAAAGCTGATCTTATATTTGCAGATTGAGATGGATGAGTGCTGAAACTACTTTGATTCCGTCTTTCTTCAGCTATGGCGTGAGCAGCCGCAACTAGAATACAGGGAGAGAAAAGGAAGGGATTAGATATTATCAATACAAACAGCTAATACAGGGGAGGCAAAGCCTGGGCAATCATCCTTGATGATACAGGACAGCATCTCTCGTCTAGAAGACAAAATCAGGACAGATTAATCCAGGTCAACAACAAAGACATATTAAGTACCTAGGATGTTCAACAACAGTTTACAAAAGAATTAAGGCTGTTGACTGTGGGTGTGCCAGTCTATCTGAGGACTTAGAGCTTGTGGATAAGTAGGAGCTAATGATTAATAGCTTTCAAAAATGCCTCAGACAAGATATCACACCAAGTACTGGAAAAACTGAGCTGGCACAGAAATGGAAAAACTGTTTCACCATAAATTGAGAATTTAGAAAAGACGTGGTGTTTACAGATCTGAATTTGGAAGCAGAAGTGTCAACAGTGAGATCCTCAGAGATTGGACCCAATATTAAAAAGTACATTTATAAATTACCTAGATGTGGGGTTTTCTTTACCCACGTTGCTTTAAAGATACCAGCAATGCCTGCCTTTCCCCACCCCCAGTCTCTGTCTGGGTGGAGGCCCAGGCACTTCCAGTTGCTAAAAGCTCTATTCTAATGCAGTGAAGGTGGAGAAGCATTCAAGGAATTCCCACTGAGATAGTATTATTCCAGGTAGAAAAATGTCCGGCAAACAAAGATAAATTTACACATGCCTTGTAAAATGCACCCAAAAGTGGTAAATAAACTTCAATAAGGGTGAAATACAAGATTAGGGGAGCACAATTTGAGGGAGAGTAAGAAAAACAAATGCCAGGATGACACACACAGCAATTATTATAGGGGATTGCGGAGCCCCTGAATTCCATTTATGGCTGCATCTAAAATGTGCCACAGTGCTGGGCATCTTCAGGAAGAATCTGGAGGTTAACACTGAAAACTCCCCTTCTACCTCTGTGAATGCACAGGAAATATGCCCCTGTGATATTGCATACAATTTTGTTTTCTATATACCAGGAAAAAAATTTACAGTTGAAGATGGGCGGTTAAAATAATTAAAGGAACAGAGTAGCTGTCATTGTCCTTAAAGAATGAAAGGACTCTGAGATGTTTCTTGTCACTGAGGAAAAAGATCTGGGAGTCATTTTACAGAGTAACCTTGAAAGTGATCTCATAATTGCTGCCATAGGGACCACTATTTCAAAAAGGAAAAAGGATTTTTTTTTTTAACCACAGAGACCTAACAGCTCAGATAATCCATGATTTAGCTAAATTTGAAGATTAGACTCTTCTCAGCTTCCTTCATAGTTCAACTACCAGCAATTCTGTGGACCACAGATTATCCTCTGAATTTGCATACTAGTGTATTAGAACAATTCTTAAATAGAGTCTATAAATTAATTGAACCCTCTTACATACTCTCTCCCGCTTGTAGCATCTCTATGTGAGCACAGAAAAAAACAGTTGGTTTTGCACATTCCATTTTCCTGATTAGAAATCCCAAAGAAAGTTCATATTTTGGCACAAATTACCTGACCATAAGGACAATTTCTCTTGAAATGTATAATTTTACCATATTTAAAGATCTTATTAAACAGTAGTAACCTCAAAATTAGCTGTGGTTGGAATAATGAACTAAATAATTTAAAGGTTAATGTGGTAATAATATCGTCTGATTTTTAGAACTGCATATCCAAATTCCCAATGGCAAGAAATATATTCACCAAAAGGACAGACTCTAGAAGTTATTTAAAATGTCCAGGCAATGGGAGAAAGGCTTTATGTCTTAACAGAATATTTTATTCAACTCCATTAATGAGAGAATTCACTTACCATTCATTTTAAAGCTACAGTAAGGAACAGTTTAAGTATACTACAGTATTTCTGCAGTTCCTATACTAATTTCTGAATCCCAAACTAAAGCTAAAAGTTACCTTTTGCAGAGCACCTCGGTGACCTTCGGCTCAGGTCGTGATCTCAGGGTCCTGGGATCCAGCCCTGAGCCCTGCATCTGGCTCCCTGCTCAGCAGCTGAGTCTGCTTCTCGCTCTTCCTCTCTACCTCTGCCTCTGTCCACCCCAGCCCCAGTCATGTTCTCTCTCTCTCTCTCTCTCTCAAATAAAATCTTAAAGAAAAGAGTCACCTTTTGCCTGGAGGTTAATAAAAGGGGTAGAGTTTATTACCAGAACTGAAGTAAGAACCTTAATCTGTATTTATGGTACTCTCCTAAAAATTGCTCTAACAAATACTGTATATCAACCTCACCATTTACAAAATTCTTTACAGTAGACTTCATTAAATTCTAACAACCCTATAAAGTGGATATTATTATTTTCCATATTTTTTACAGGTAGGAAAAACTGAAGCTAAACATTATTGTCCCAGATCATGCAGGTAGTAACTCTGGGTCTTGTGTTTGAGCCCCAAAGTGGGTAGAGATTACTAAAAAATAAACAAGACAAAACAAAAAATTCCTCAAAGATAGCATGTCTTAAAGCAAATTACAGTTTCCTACCAGTCAGAGCTGCCTACAGTGGAATGGCTACTTGGAAAAAATATTAAGCTGTTAGACTATACATCCGAGTTGTAGAAGCTGCCCAGGATTTTATAGCTGGGACTCTGGGTGTTAGACTTGAGAATCTTAAGGTTTCTCCAGCTCTAAAATTCTATAATCATCTCACTCAACCTTAGTAGCTTTTTCTGCATTTGTCTAAGAAACTACTTGTGAATTTAGAAAAACAAGGTGACAGATCAGTGTCAAATCTTCTTATGCTCATCAGGTTGAAAAATTCATATAAATTATCTTACAATTATGTGTAAAAAGTATAAAACACATGTTCTGTTAAAAGAAGTGTATTTAGGGATGCCTGGATGGTTCAGTGGGTTAAACATCTGCCTTCCACTCAGGTCATGCTCTCAGGAAAGTCGGTTTCTCCCTCTCTCTCTGCCCCGCCCCTGCCCACTCCCACCCCCATGCTCCTGACCCCTATCTCTTTCAGGTAAATAAAAATTTTTAAAAAGTGTATTTCTTCAGTATGTTACAATCTTAGCGCAGTGCTATGCACAGAAAACATAATAAAATGAATGTACATAATTCATGCCCCCTTAGAAGTCACTTGTTCAGGGACAACGTTTTAACTCTTGAAGCCAGGCTCCCAGCAGTAAATGAAATTGACCAGATTAACAGATTCAGGGCTACTCATGGTTACTTGGATAACAGAATAAAAAGAAGCAACTGTCACAGTGGCATTTCATTTGCCACAAAGTGGCAAGACATTTCAATGACTCCTTGTCCCCTTCAGGAAAACGCTGAGACCATGAGGGCAAATCTTGTTAAAGCCGGTAGTCTGTGAAAATTCTAACATAAAACATGTGATGTTTTCAATTCCTAATAGGAAATGGGCAGCAAGGAGGTCAATTAGGGTTCTGGGTTAAGCCCTTTTTGCATGACTAAGTTTTTGGCTTGAAATACTGTGAATCCAAGCAACTGTTTCATAAAAGATTTTAAAATACTTCACAACATTCAATATCCAAAAATGCTTGGGAAGGGGGTTATCCAGAATGCTGGTTACTTTAAATCACTGAAATAAACAAATGGCAGAGAGCCTTATGTGTCGACAAGTAATGAAACAATCCGAATTTACTGCACTCTCTCTCTAGGTAAAGATGAAAGTGTATTTGCTTCTGATACGTTGTTTGGGGAGTGGATTCAAAGTATTCTGAAGTAACACAAAGCCTCTCAATCGCAGCCAATTCTTCAACTGCAAATGAAAAAATCCCCAAGGCTTTCGATAAAATCAATTAAGATCGTTTTATTCTCAAGTTCACAGTAATAGCAACTGGCCTGAGAAAACCAAGTAACCTCCCACAAGCGAGAAATACCATTTCGCTCCGCGAGCGGAGCAGTCTCCTGGGCTAAGCAACGCGCTGCCAAATTTTAGAAAATTAACGATTTGGGGGCGACAAACATTTTGGCGTTGGGTCCAGTTCAGAAGAAAGCACACTGAAGTGCTGCTTCCCGTTCATTGCCGCCTAGGGTCCGCAAGATGTCCCACGGAAGGTGACATCTTGACGAAGTCATGTGCTACAGCGGGCAAATCAGGAGGAGCGGAGAGGCAAGTTTCTCCCAACTTTCAAAGGAACAGCCCCCAAGGCTCCCTCCTCACCGGACGTTGACCGGGAGCGTGCGGTAGATTAAGTCCTTGGGAGAGGCAAGGACTGCGACGGTGGGAGAGGATGCGAGCGCCCCGCGCAGAGGGAAAACTCCCGGCTCCCGGCGCCTGGAAAGGCTGCCCCGGCGCGCGGGGTCTTGGCGGGCGCCCGCACATCCCCGGCTGTGGCGCGTCCGTTCGATGGCCGCGCGGACGCCAGCCGCCCCCCAACGGCAGGCGCAGCTCAAGACCGTCCTCAGGGTCCGGGGTCACAGGCCCCTCCACCCCCACCCCTGCGCCCACAGCGTCCGTTAGTTCCCTCACGCCCCGCCCGCGGGGTTCGGCCGGTGGCGGCGACCGTTGGGCCGTTGGCCGTGGGACTTCGGCCGTCGGTGATGCCGGCCGGCCCGCCGTTCCTCCTCCCGACCCCCGTCCCACAACGGTTCTCTGTCCCGTCCAGGGAAACTCCGGGGCGGGTGAGGGGAGGACCGGACGGCGCGAGGCCACTCCGGAGTAAAGTTTTCTGGCGCCCTCCGCGCCGCTTCAACGGCCCCCGGGGCCACGAGACGCCCGCCTCCCGCGCGGTTCCGAGTTCCCCCGGGAGACGCCAGGCCGCTCACCCATGCGTTCGCGCATCCCCCTCAGAGAGGTGCCGCCGCCGGCGCGCTCCGCCATCTTCCGAGCCGCCGCGTCTGAAACCGCTGGCGGCGCTGGGGGTCCAGTGCGCAGGCTCCGGCGCCGCCGTCTGGCCCGCTTCGGCCGCGGCGCCGGGGGGCGGGGCGGGGCGGGGCCCGCAGAGCCGCCGTGCCCGCCTGAGACCCGCAAACCCTGCAGCGCTGCTCGCTACACACCACGTCCTGACCCTCTGGGCAGGGACCTCTGGTCTAAAGAAACCCTCTCCTACGTTCCATGTTCTCCTCGCATCCGTGTGCGGGGGGCCAGCCAATCATCAGCCGGCTTGGCCGTCCAACATTCCTTTTTCCCTTTCATCCCGTCTACATAGCAACGCAGTAACATTCCTTCCTTTCTTCATTTGTTCCTTCGTTCCTTTAAGGAGCATTATACTGAGCGCCTCCTGGGTTCGCTTGTATCCGGAGTTTGCTAGTCTTTGAAACACTACAGAAAGGCCTAAGTGAGGGACAAGAGGCCCAGAGGCAGGTTAGAGGGTAGAGATGTTCCTGGGAGGCACTAGGGGCCCAATCAAGAGTAGCGCCTTTCTTTAAATTGTTGCAAAATAAATCATGACACTGTTAGGTCTCAAAGTTGCATGAATTATCTCTACGGTGTTTGTGGGTCTTTGAGTGAAGGAGAGGGCTTGTGGGACACGCACTTTGATGAGCCCTCTGTATCTCAAAATTTCAGGGAGCTGTAAAAGGGAAGGAGCTAATAACAGCAAACATTTATTGACTCTTAACTATATGCCAGGCCCTGTTCTAACTACGTTACCTATATTCATTCATTTAATCCCCCTACTACCTGACAAAGTCGGCACCGTTATCACTCCCATCTCGTAGATAAGGAAACTAAAGCAGAGAGAAGTTAAATTATTCACAGTCACACAGTTACTATCAGAACTGGAATTTGAACCCAAAATGTCTGACCAGTAGCCTCCTCCATGTGCTTAGCCTTAAGCAATACTGTTTCGTAAAAGCTGGAGATTCATACATAGTTCATAAATGATTAGCATCCAGAATGCATAAAGATCTAAAAATACATAAGGAAAAAAACCTCCAAGAAGTGAGCAAAAGGCATGAACAGGCCTCCCACAAGAGAAAAATCACAAATGATCAAGAAACATGAGAAAAGATGCTCACACTCTTCAGCAGTCCGAGAGAATACAAACAAAACCCAGAAGATATCATGTTATACCTACAGATTTAGCAAATTTAAAGAGTGAACAATAAGCGTTGGTGAGGCTGTAGATTAATACTGGGGATGGAGGAAAAAAAATACAGGAGGTGGAGGTAGGAGAGTGGGGGCTGCTATGGGAGTCAGGGGTAGAGTGGGAGTGGGGAGGAGGAAGTTTGGCATTATAAAGTATCCGAAATCCTGCTCCTGTGTGTACCCAGAGAGCAATGTTTTCCATGATGCACATGATGGTAGCCATGATTGTTAATATGACACACATGTGATTAAGACACCAGCAAAGCAGAGACACATAAATTCAGCTTTGATGATTTATCTGGAACTCCACAAATGGACAATCTAGAAAAATGCAACATCACCTTTATGGTTTCTTTCTTTCTTTTTTTTTTTTTAAGGTTTTATTTATTTACTTGAGGGAGAGGGAGGGTGAGCACACAAGCAGGGGGAGCAGCAGAGGGAGAGGGAGAAGCAGGCTCTCAGCAGAACAGGGAGCCCGACCCGGACTGACTCAGAGCTCGATCCCAGGACCCTGAGAGATCATGATCTGAGCCGAAGGTAGATGCTTAACTGATTGAGCTACCCAGGCACCCCACCTTTATGGTTTCTTGCAAAAATGCTCAAGATGTTGAATCCATTGTGAGATGCTGAACCTATCTAATAATGAGGAAATTTCAGACAAATCCAGACTGTGACATATTCTATGAAACAACTGGCCTGGATGCTTCAAAATGTTATCATCATCAAAGATTAAAAACAGGGCGCCTGGGTGGCTCAGTGGGTTAAAGCCTCTGCCTTCGGCTCAGGTCATGATCCCAGGGTCCTGGGATCGAGGCCCGCATCAGGCTCTCTGCCCAGCGGGGAGCCTGCATCCTCCTCTCTCTCTGCCTGCCTCTCTGCCTACTCGTGATCTCTCTCTCTGTCAAATAAATAAATAAAATCTTTAAAAAAAAACGATTAAAAACAAACACTGGAGAGTGTTTTGGATCACAGGAGACTAAAGCGACCAAGTACGAAGCATGGTCCTTTATTAGAAACTAGATTAAAGGACACCTGGGAGGCTCAGTTGGTTAAGCGTCTACCTTCAGCTCAGGTCATGATCCCAGGATTCTGGGATCCAGCCCCGAGTAGGGCTCCCTGCTCTGTGAGGAGCCTGCTTCTCCCTCTCCTTCTGCTTGCCATTCGCCCTGCTTGTGCACTCTCTCTCTCTCTGTCAAATTAATAAAATTAAAAAAAAAAGAAACTAGATTTTAAAAATAGCTTTAAAGAGCATTGATTATTGTAGCAATGGGGAAAATTTGAATATGAACCATGTATTAGATAATATTGCATTAAGGTCAAATTTCTTTGGCGGGAGAATGCTACTGTGGAAATGTCCTTTCTCTTAAGAAATAAAAGCTGAAGAGTTTAGGGGCAAAGCATTTTAATGCCTGAAACTTACTGTCAAGCAGTTCAGAGGGAAAAAACAGCAAATATCACAAAATGTTAAAAATCGGTAAATCTAGAGGATTATATAGATGTTTGTTTTACTCTTCTTTCAACTCTTCTGTGGGTTTGAAATTTTTCCAAATGGAGATTTTTTTTTTTAATCTAGAAAGTGTGGCTTCAGCTGACTTAGAAATACCACCACTTTGAATAAAATAAAATTTGATTTGAAAGTACATACAGGGAAGCACCCTCCATGATCTTTTCAGCATTTAGAGCCTTTAAAGGCCTTAATCCAGTCCAGGCATTGGGGGGGAGGAGGGGTGGGCAGAGGAGGGGTACTAAAAGGTTTACAAAAAAACAAATATGGGCAATGTTTGCTAGGAGCTGGGTGAGTAATAAAAATGTGTTCTGAGAGCTCAGAGGGACGAAAAATCACTTCTGGTTAGGGTGTTCAGAGAAGCCCTCACAAAGAATTGGCACTTATTTCTGGACCTGAAGACCAAGAGAGAGCAATCACTCCTTCATCCCGGCCCATGGGAACTGAGTGAGGAGTTGGGCCAATTTGTAGTCAGATCTTCCCGTTTTTCAAAATAAGCTGGAAATCTGGATTTTAATATAAAATCTCTTATTGTAAAAATGATGACAACATTAAAAGTTTTGGAAAACCCCGTAAATAAAATGATCAGATATCTCATCAGTGGTCAACTTCCGCAACTGTTGTCTCCTTTCCTATGTCTGAATAAAAATCCAAACAAGGGGGGCACCTGGATAGCTCAGTGGGTTAAGCCTCTGCCTTTGGCTCAGGTCACGATCTCAGGGTCCTGGAATCAAGCCCCACATCGGGCTCTCTGCTCAGTGAGGAGCCTGCTTCCCCCTGTCTCTCTGCCTGCCTCTCTCATGATCTCTCTCTCTCTCTGTCAAATAAATAAGATCTTTAAAAAAAAATCCAAACAAGGTCCACACATGGCATCGATATCTCTTTTAAGTCTCTTTTAATCTACAGATAACCCTTCTTTCGCACTGGGAAGTTTAGCATTCATTTGTTCATTTCAAAGGCGGAATCACTCAAACCGTCATCTGCTCTGTGCCTGGCACGTGGTGGGGGGAGACAGGAAAGGAGCCCTGCCCTCCATTGATTCTATGCTGATTATTCGATGTCAGGGTCCAGCCTTAGAGGTTTTCTTGGAACTAGAGCAGCTCCCTAAGGAGCCCCCACAAGACTGTATATTTCTCAGAAAAATATTGGAGCTAAAGGCATCCGTTTGGGTAGAGGGAGTCTAATTCTTCTGGGGCCAACCCAGACTCAGCTGGGAAGGAACCCAGGCGGCTCCTCACCTCCTGCGTTTGGAAAGCGTGTAAGTTCCCCAGTGAGCAAATAAAGAACTGGAATCCTGCTCACTTTTTTCCCCCCTTGGTTATTTTTTCCCCTTAAACCTGACACCAGCAGGAAGAACATTCAGAAACCACAGGCACAACAGGTCTAGGATTTGTCACTTTTTTTTCTATCAAACCATGAAGTTTTTTAAAAAATGGAATTCACATGTAATAAACACTCGGCGGACTGCCTGAGTCTAACAAATTTCCACTGCAACTCCCACCACCGCGGCACTGTACTGGGAGTTTTAAGCTTCATAGCCATGAGATGGCTCTCCTCTCCATCCCTGAACTACCTGTCAGATTCACCCGGCAGGCCCACAGTGGAGGCACTTGGCCTCTCATTTCTGACTCTTACCTCCCATCTGTTGCAGCTTGGCTGTGATGACAGGGTTGGGGGGACGGGGTGGGGGGGGGAATGAGTCATTCTGGACTCATCTCTTGCCAAATCTATTCACATTTTCCTTTCTTTCCCCAAATCTGCACTTTTCTTTCCTCCTAAGCTACAGGCTTACCTCGGGCTCTGGTCATTTCTCAAAGCTTTCTCAGCTCTGGAATTCCCACCCCAGGAGCACCTTCCACCCACCCGTGCCACCACCCTTCACAGCCATCCTTCCTCACCCCATCTCTCCTCCTTTCTCTTTGCCTGGAGAACTGGGGCGGCCTTGCTCTGTGTGCCGTCTCCTTTTTAGGGAGTCCCTGGGCCCTCCTGGGGTGGTCTGGGGGGCTGATCATCATGGCCTAAGCTCACCAGGATGGAGGCAGTAAGCTTCTGAGGAGAGGAAGAAGAGGTATTTCCCTCCAAACTGGAAATTCAGCTAAACCTCGGAGGGGAAAGGGTGTGGTGGCAGTGGTGGCCCTCTGCTTGGAGCATTAGGAGATTCTTGGACACTTAGGGGAGATAGTAAGAGCTGTCATTTATCCATTGCCTACCCAATGGCGGGCACAGTCCTAAAGGCTTTGCACGGATCCCTTCATTTAATCCTTACAGTACTTTTATGGGACAGCTT